CCTATGAGCACCAGAGTCAAGGGCGCGCCCTGTGTCTGAATGGGCGTTACATCGTAAAGCCTCGCGTGGCATGGTATTGCAGTCGGGCAGTCAATCGATTGGCGTAAAGCGGGCAAGTGATGCACATCAGACGGCGTTGCTCGCCACGGCAAAATAAACAACATATAGGATGGAAAAGAAGCAATGAAGCCTCACAGATCGATTCGTCCGTGGCCATGGCAGAGCGTTTGCGGCGCCTAGAGCTAAATGCCCCGCACGCACATGATTAGTGCCCGCAGTCAGGTAGGCAAGCTTGGCAAGGTACCCGGCACAGGCTGGCCAGGCTGGCAGTTGACACACCTCGCAAACAGGGGCACTCAGAAGGCAGGGGCGAGGGCTGAATGCACCTTCTCTCGATAGTAATCATGGTAGTGACATGCGCCCAATGCCATGTTGAGCAAGACGCAGGTGCGAGGCACCTTCCAGCCAGCACCTTTTTAGCAAAGCTGCCACTCAACGGCCCCTGCCACTCCACAAACCTTAAGCCTCGAGTCGCATGTTCAGCTGCCATCACGATCAAAGGTCAAAGCACCTCACCTAGCGAAGTAGGTCAGGCTTGGCATGACCATCACCGTCTGTACACACCATCACGATGCCTTCGATGATGGTCAAGCCATGGAAAGAAAAAAGTTGGTATCTGACTGGATCTACACAGTTGTCCGCAATTCCGGCTGCCTGGGCTCCGAGTTCAGTCCGCAAGAAACTATCGATTCTGAGCCCGCCGAGAAACTGATCCACGTCTGGGTCGCACAACGGCTTGCTCCCTTGTCTTGAGTCCTGGGCAACGCTATTTCTCAATCACGAAAGACGCCAGTTCATGCGAAAACTGTTCTCTCCACCTCGTGTCTCGCGTCTGAGTCTCCAATCTCACGATCTCCTTGCCATCAACTCCCTCCCATCGTCGCTCGTCTACGTAAGGGTTTCGCTTTTCCCCATCAAAAGGTCGTCATCATACTAGGCGTCCTGGCATCCCAGGCACAGACGGCAAACGAACTTTGGATTGCCGATCCGATGCGAAAGTCAAACACAGGCCACGATCCTTGATCGAGGCAAGTAGCGATCGGCACTGCATAGCAAACAGCCCCACGACGCGGCACGCTCACGCGGGTATACCCCGTTGTCATCGGATGGCACGACCAGGTTACCGGATACCAAAAGGCTTCGTTCAGTCCACGCTGGCAAACAAACGCAATGTCTTACAAGTCTTCTTGGCAGCACCGAACTCGAAACGCTCCTCGCCATGGCCATTGGCAGGCAGTATGTCCCTGCTGCCGAGTTTCTTTTTCGTCGAAACGCCTAGGACTGGACCACTCGAAAAGCAAGGTCCGCCACCGTGAGATCAGATGCTAGAATCGATGATCCTGATGGAGAACTCCGACACCACCGAACTACTTGGCTCCTCTTGTCCGTCCCAATGTGGCCAAACCCGCGTCCTAGTCTTCGGTCCGATGTAGAGTGAGTTGAGATGAACAGAAGGAAAGACAAGACAGCAGCGTTGAAGCCACACGGCTCGAGACCCTGCTTTCCTGGTGTGCCCCGCCTCACAGTCTGGCACGCTGCTTTGAGACAGCAACGAGCCAGACGTCGCATTTAACCACTGCTGACGGCACTCCTCCTTCTCCATTCCATTCCGTCGCCGACAGTTCCCTCCCTCGACCTTTGCTCGCCAGCAAACTGTCAGAAGACAACGATCCAACAATGGATCCCATGGCTGGCCTCACCGTTTACAATCTCCCGCCAGCTCCGCCGCGGTGGGATCACATCGGCATCTTCTATGTCACCTTTTGTTTGACATGGACGACCATAGTCTTCTCCTTGATGGCATTTGGCTGGCTCAATAGGACCAACCCCGTTCTCAGGCACCGTGGAGTGGGCTTGTCGTTTGGCGCCATCTTCTTTCTCCATTGCTACTGGTTTCTGGCCCAGATCGTGTATCCTATCGGCGGCACCATGCCAGTCATCCTCGCCTACAGCATCCAGTACTTCTTTATGGGTATCTGGTTTCCACTCGGCGTTGCTCTGTTCCATGCTTCCAACAGCCGCTTCCTCCACGTGGCCAAGCTACAGAAGCAATACATGCAGCCTGAGCTCCGAAGTAAGAGCGGCTGCAACGGCGCGGACAGCTCGTGGATCTGCAGATTCAGGAACATGAGCTACACAAAAAAGATTATGCTGCCCATCGGATTCGGCATCGTTCTACAGGTAGGCACATCACTCTGACTAGTTGTGCTTTCCACTGACACGCCTAAGATCCTCCTGACGACCGGCATGTGGTTGGCTTGCAGGAAGTACCACCCTTCCTGGGGCATTCCCGGCACCGAAATCCGGGGCGACAACCTTATGGAGCAGATGATTGATCTTGGTCAGGGATGGGAGTGGTGGCCCTCTGTTTTGTGGCAGGTCATCTGGACTTGGATTGTGAGAACATGAGAGCTTCACCAAAGCCATGACTTGAGCTGACGCCTTGACGCACAGGTTGCCCCTATTCTTCTCTACCGAGCCTGGGGGATTCGTGACACCATGGGCTGGCGTTTCCAAACTGTTGGCTGCTGTCTTGCAAGGTAGGCATCTTGTGTTCGCGATGGGCCTTCCAGCTGCTGACCTTCCAAGTCTTCATGCAACGCCCATGTTCATGATTGCCTGCTACGTCCCTGCCTTCCAGGTCATCAACCCCTATTACCCTCCAAGTCAATGGTGAGTTGTTCAACCGCATGACGCCTCGACTAGTTCCCAGTGCTAATGACCACAGGATCCATCTGTCCATCATGTTTTTCGAAATCTTCACGATTATCATTCCTGCCATCCAGGTCGTCCAGCAGCGTCGCATGGTCAAGAAATCTGCCGAACTCAACGCCAAGTGGGAGACATCCTCGCAAACAACGACCCTCCGAACGTCCACGTCTATCGAAGGAAAGAACTCGAACATCAGCCTCGCCGAGAAGGCATCGAGTTTTGATTACTTGGATGAGGAGCTTGGCAACCGTCTCCTGACCATGGCTGCACTCGACCATGTTCTCAACGAGAACCCGGAACCACTTCAGGAATTTTCTGCTCTCAGCGACTTCTCCGGCGAGAACATTGCGTTCCTCACCCGTGTCACACGCTGGAAGTCAACATTGACGCATGCGGTGACGGAGGAAAACAACCTCATCTTGTACAACCGTGCCATGGATATTTACGTCGACTTCATCAGCATGCGTGATGCCGAGTTTCCTCTCAACCTCCCTTCCCAGCAGCTCAAACAGCTCGAAGAGATCTTTGAACAATCTACACGCACGGTACTCGGCGAGGCGGTGGTCAACCCCGCCACTCCTTTCGACTTTCCTTCACCATCCCATGGTAGTCGTGGACAGAGCGACTCCAAGGACGACTTGCTCACTGAAACGCAGTACACGGGCGAGATTCCTGCTGCCTTTAGCCCAGCTGTCTTTGACGCCGCGCAGGCGCACATCAAATACCTTGTTCTGACAAATACGTGGCCCAAGTTTGTGGCAGAGATGCAGTCCAGGAGGAAATCAAGCGAGACGGAACGGACTGATATTTCTGGAGATTCACAGATGACTCTTGCCTCGCAGGTTTCCAGCTTTTTCAAGAGACTCATCTGAGGGGCATTGGCTGCAGCAGAA